CATGAACGAATGAATGTATCGCTTTGAAATTTTCAGGGCACCAAGGTACCAACGTGAAAAGTTCCTAGCCGGAATTTGGTAGTCATGGTACCTTTGGTTCCAGTGTGGCGCACGCGCTAAGTCAAACAAAGTTGTGGTGGATTTGGGGTGAATTTCGGAGTGGTTTGGTGTGGTCGGGTGGATCCGCGAGGTCGGGTTGACCTAAGATGGCGGTCATAATACATGAACAAGCATTCATGAATTTTTGCGACCGGGGTTGATTTTCAATGCACAGGCATCGTTCCGGTGGTCCGATTGCCTTCAAATTTGCACAGAATGTACCTTGGGATTCTAGCTATCACAAATTAAAAATAGAAGAGAGTGGAATTTCGAGAACGTTGAAAATTAATTCGAAGCCCACCCCCACCCATCAATGTTTTTTTTGCTTAAAAAATTGCCGTACTTTATCGATTTTTTATTGTTCTTGATATCTGAACATTTTCTCCTTTTAATATGTGATAAATATCATCGCGGCGCAGCCAACCGCTAGAAATTCCAGAGATTTTGACCACCGGAAGGATGCCTCAGCAGCCAAAAAAGGTAAAAATAAGCGATTTCGGATTTTAGTGTCGCAAACATCGTTGCGGTCATTTTAAAAAATTGTCTTTTAAGGATAATGTGTATAGTACTAATACCTATCACATACGGAAGAGGCGATAATATCCCTTTGCATTTGCAATGTCAAAATTAATTAAAACTAATATTAAATTCCGAAAATCATTTTTTTTGCTAAAACTCTTTTTTTTAATCGGATCAAAATGGGAGTAAAGTACAGAATCCGGGGTAGTAATAGGCGTATTGTGTCCAAATTTCATGGTTCTCGGACAATCCGTTCCGATGTCGTGGCGAAATTCCTCCTTTTTCCCCTTACGGAAGGCGTATCTGGACTTAAAAAAAATGAGAACGGCACCTGACCTGGAGCAGTGCCAAGAACAAACGACTTGAAGGAATGCAGGTATCGTCTTGAAATTTTCAGAGCATCTAGGTACCAACGTGAAAAGTTCCTAGAAGGAAATTTGGTAGTCATAATACCTTTGGTTCCAGCGTTGCGCATGCGCGAAGTCAAAAGCAGCTGAATATGTTGTTATGAAGGATTTTTTTTTACGAAATGGACCTATCTCTTCGAAACTTCAGCTACCCCCCATTTCCAACCTCGGCGCATCCCAAAATTGTCTCCAAATTTTACTTTACGTACCCCTGGGAATATGGCCACTGCTCGCCCCCCCATGGGTCGGGCCCTAAAATTTCTTGTTTGGAATTGTGCTTGGGACCATAAGCCAGATACCCCGGTGAGTTTCAAGTTGGTGTGCACGATAGTAGGGTTGTGACGCGCATGCGCGGGCCTACAATTCAAAACGGTGAGCATCATTTGCCCTAAATCAAAATTCTGCTCTGAACGTTTTTTAGGCATTCCTTTAAGGATTCCGAAAATGTAACTCCCATGTCTGTAAGTAAAATATCGCAAAAGCAAAGTGATTTTTCACGTTTCAAGATGGTGGCACTTCCGGAATGGGCTACAAACTCCATTTTCTGTGAACAAATCAGAAGTGTCGTAGCTAGTACAGAAAAAACATTTCAAGGCAATCTGACCAATATTTCGTCGATTTTTTTGAAAATTTTGATCCTTAATTTCATCAAGGGGAGATAATTTAGAAAATTTCTAATGACATCATTCAAGTCGCATTGGTAAGATTCTCTTACATACTAAATTTCATGAAAATCGTGCAACTATTAAAGAAGTTGTCAAGTTGGTTTCAACTTCCGGTTCGAAATCACAGCTACGAATTTTCGAAATTCGAAAATCCGAAATAGCAGATTTGAAGTAATTGTCTCAATGTACTCAAAGAAAAAAGATTTAGTAAAATAGGTCAAATAGTCACAAATGGGTGTAGGTCAAATGCATTCGTTCATAAAATTCGGTGATTTCGGATTCGTAAAACGTTTTGAAAATATATTTAATCAACAGCCACCACCCATTTTTGGGGGGATAGGTAAAAGTTTCAAAAAGATCCTATGGTTAGATTCTGAGAAATCCAATTTGTGGACAAAACACACAAAAAAAAAAAAATAATAATAATAATATTAATCTTAACAGAAACAATAAGCTTTCATATGAAATATGAAATAATAATTTTAGTAATCTCAATAGCCTAATAATAGAGTCTATGTAAATAAGTGTTTTTCTCCAGAATGAATTCTCATGTGGTTTTGTAGACCAACATTCTGACTAAATGATTTTACTACAAACATCACATTTATAAGGTCTTCCTCCTGTATGTATTCTCATACGGGCTTGTAGATCACTACTGACGATGATTGGTTCTGTAGATTACAATTATAAGGTTTTTCATGAGTATGAATTCTCATGTGGTTCTGTAGACCAACATTCCGACTAAATGATTTACTACAAACATCACATTTATTAGGTTTTTCACCTGTGTGATTTCTGAGGTGTTCTTGTAGAGTACTACTGGTATTAATTGATTTACTACAAACATCACATTTATATGGCTTCTGTCCAGTGTGATACATCATGTGTTTTATTAGACTATTTCTCCATGCAAATGATTTAACACAAACATCACATTTATAAGGTTTTTCCCTTGTATGAAGTATCATGTGCTTTCGTAGGGTACTTCGATCAGTAAATGATTTACTACAAACATCACATTTAAATGGTTTCTCTGCAGTATGACTTCTGACATGTTTCTGTAGATGTGCTTTCTGACTAAATGATTTACTACAAACATCACATTTAAATCGTTTTTCACCTGTATGAATTCTCATGTGTAACTGTAGATTACTATTCTGGCTAAATGATTTACCACAAACATCACATTTATAAGGTTTTTCACCTGTGTGATTTCTTACATGATTCCTTAGAGTACTACTATGAGTAAATGATTTACTACAAACATCACATTTATAAGGTTTTTCCCGTGTATGACTTCTCATGTGTTGCTGTAGATTACTTTTATGACTGAATGATTTACTACAAACATCACATTTATAAGGTGTTTCCCCAGTATGAATTCTGACGTGGTTCTGTAGATGACCATTCGAAGTGAATAATTTACCACAAATATCACATTTATAAAGTTTTTCTTCTGCATGAATTCTGATGTGGTTCTGCAGCTTACTGTTAAAAGTGAATAATTTACCACAAACATCACATTTATACGTTTTTTTGCCAGTTTGCCCTTGCTGACTAACATGTTCTTCAGTGTGTTTTTCCCAATTTGCTTCTAATTGAAATTCTTCTTCACACAAATTACACTGATAAGCAGTTCCATCATCTTCAGTTTTCTCTTCTTTAACATGACAATATCCATCTACATCATCAGTTTTCTCTTCTTTAACATGAAAATATTCATCTACATCATCAGTTTTCTCATCTTTAACATGAATATTATTGTGTTGTTTTAAATCATCATATTGTTTAAAAATCTCATCACATACAACACACTGATGGAAAGTTATAACATCATTAGTATCCTGAAATATATAAAAGTTGTAACACCATTAGTTTCCTGTAATATATAAAAGTTATAACATCATTAGTTTACTGTAATATATAAAAGTTATGACATCATTAGTTTCCTGTAATATATAAAAGTTATAACATCATTAGTTTCCTGTAATATATAAAAGTTATAACATCATTAGTTTCCTGTAATATATAAAAGTTATAACATCATTAGTTCCCTGGAATATATAAAAGTTATAACATCATTAGTTTCCTGTAATATATAAAAGTTATAACATCATTAGTTCCCTGGAATATATAAAAGTTATAACATCATTAGTTTCCTGTAATGGTTTGAGAAAAATGTCTGAAGTAATAGCACTAGGGGTTTCAGTGATATAATGAAGCTTAAACACCATTCCTCGCGTTGAGAAAGTTGCCATTGTGACGTCACAGGAATTCCCATACCTGCACAAGAGAGAAATAGCTAACAGAATTTCAAGGAAATAATGCAAAAGGGTCAGTTAGAAGAAGATCTAAATAAAAAGAATGTACAGTAATTTATAAGACTTTTTGCTAAGGTTTGATATTGAAGACAATACCATATGACCGTAGCACTTATAAGACTTTTGATGTGATATTGAGGACGATACCTTGTGACAGTATGAGATAATATTTTAAATATCATCAGACACATATTCTATTCACTTAAAAATGCATTATGCAAGAGCAAAATCTGCTTATTACAAGTCTTTCTTTAGGCCTGAAATGTTATCTAAATTATGAATTAGACATTAATTAACTTATCCAGACCATAATAAACTCTCGATGTCAAGGCTAGCCTTCGATGCTGGCTGGATTAGATTCCTATATGCCGCTTACGGCCGTTGATAACTAAATTAATAAAAGTGGATAATCGAGACTAAGCTGTTTATATTAATGATTTTAGTAATGATGACGGAGACTATGCCAAAATTTCACCCGCTTCTTTCTCGGCTCATAGTGGACCAATTTGACTGAAATTTTCAGCAAATTACCTTTACACTATCTAGTTTTTAACTATTATAACGAGAACAGCCATCTCGTTATCTTATCTCCCATAATGTATCTTTAATCGTATTTTACTCATTAAATATTTGTGTATCTTTCTTTGTTTTGTATTAAAATATTGTAGCACAAATAAGAAATTTCTTCGATTCTGAAAAGTCGAATGGACAATAAACCCCTTCTAAATTATCAAGGCAAATTACTGTGTATAAATATTACAGTGTCTCGTGTTCTAATGATTCAAGCATGGTTAAATGGACAATAAACCCCCTCTAAATACGTAACAGGAAGTGTTTATCTCCTAAATAATGTCTGTGTTTTGTTTTGTTTAATCCGAAATCACCTCACCATTTTTTGTTAACAACTTCTGTTGTCTATTTGTCAATCTGTTGTGAATGAATGATGATTGTTTATTATAAAAACACAAAACAGGATTACTGTAGCGATGCCAAACGCCGCTAGAGGCGCTGGCTGTCCTATTATTGGTGTGCTAAAAAACCTGACCGAAAAATGTACCGTTTCTACTACGGGGTCTCATGAATATTCAGGAAGTCAAAACGTGGTCACGTGGCACTTTTCCGGAACCTGGTGAGCTGTAGTTAGCGGACTGCCATAGCAGGTAAGATTTTGATCGAATTTTCGCTTATTTTTTTTGTTTTTAATTTTTAAATGTAATAGAAACTTTGAAAAAAAGAGCATTCCGCTCGAGATATCGACATTTTTGGATAGCCTGGTATATATTTTGTATAGTTTGAGCTTTTGTTTTGCCAAAATCCCCCGTAGGAATTGGCAATAAGACGGAAAGTAGAACCGGGGAAGAATCAGGGAAAGACAACTCTTGGTAGGTGCGTGTATGGGATCAGACCACAATGAATGATTTATTTTTTTTTAACCTAACTTTTGCAAACTTAAGTGTGAACTATTTAGATGTTTTTGCAAATTTAATAACATTACTTGTAAAAAAAAATGGACTTTTGAGAAAAATATATCCCCAAATATTGAAATAAGACTGACTTGGCATAGGCAAAATGAAAATGTGTATCTCAATTATTTTAAAGCTTATATTTACTATGGAAGAAGAGTATTCACAACCATTATTCATAACAGATTCTGAGGAGAGTGAAAAAGAAATTGGAGAAAGTGAATCTCAAGTAAGGCATTTCAATCTGTACTTTAGGACAATTATTATACTATGTTTATTTGATGCAGCACTCTTTTATTATAACTTTAAAAAACATAATCGGAAGAGGCCAGGGATTATATTGCTCTGTACCAAATCAATTTTATTTTCCAGGCACAGACGCAAGCTCCAAGATTCATGCCACTTTTCACTCCACGCTTTAGTTCTGAGAATACAGATTCTGATGACCAAAGTTTAAAAATTCCAGAAAAGGTACATTTATCTAAATAATTATAATGGTCAAATATAGAATGTTAGTCAGACTACAAAAATATGTGCATTGAGCAATCTTGCCAGTTAAATCGGTACAAATAGTATTCAGTTCATACTAATAGTCCACTTGTACCACAGTAATGTACAGTATACGCCTATCCTGTCTCCAGTGCCGGATCTAGGAGGGGGCAATGTGGGACAAATGTCCCGGGCCGCCCACAATTCTGGGTCATACTAATATTTTATCCCGGATTTCACTAAAATAAAGTAAATGAAAACATCATAAGAGAAAGAGTCTGTTTTAAATACTCAAATTGTCAATGAATTCTAAACGTCAATGAAATCGCTGACTAAATTGTCTTAGATGCACTGAAATTAATCCTAATTTTAAAAAAGGATTCCTGGAGGAAAACACCCCTGGCACTCAAGGGGGCGGAGTACATACTAGTACGATCCGCGGTCAATATGAACATTTTGAACAAACAACATTGGGGCCCCCCGCACAGTTGGTATGTCCCGGGCCCCCACAAGGTTAATTGGGCACTGCCTGTCTTGCCAAGAGCACCCTGAATGATAGTTGTGTGTTTCAGTTTAGCATGATATACTTATCAGACAACAAAATATATTATTTATTTATCTTTCAGGTTGCAAGATTGAACACACAGTTAACCTTTTCTGCATCAACATCAGAATTTGATTCAAGCCCGAAAATATTACGGAAAAAAGTAAAGAAACCAAAACGTGACCAGAACACAAAAGAATGTCAAACTATAATCGTCGGTGAAATATTTGCTAACACTAAAAACATGATTATGAGTGATGATATCCAAGTCAAACGAGATGATAATTTAAATGTAGGAACACAAACTGTTATATCTGGACCATTTATGCTTTATTCCCAAAACTTGTATTTTAAATTTTAATTACTAATATGATCATGTAATCAAATCCCCCAATTATAATCCTCATGTCTTTTTGTGTCAATCTTGGGTTTACTGTCCAGGCTGCATTTTCTGACAGTAAGCCCAAGATTAGAAATTTGACTAATGGGGCAGTCTTGGAGCTTTTTGAACATGGTAGGTCTGTGAATGCAAAAACTATGGATGTGATTCATATAATGTGTGAAATTTGTGATGTTAAAGACGCCAATATTACTGCGTGTAGATCTAAGGTTTACAGGATGATTGACGCAGATAAGAAAAAGCGAGCTGAAGTTCGAGATTCATATAGGAATCAAATATTTCATTTTCCGTCTTCTGTTCCAACATTAAGCACTACAGAATCAATGACAGAGTTAAAACAGTCAAAAGATGTTTCAGAGAGTAAGATAGAGGAACTGCGAAACATAAAAGAAGCAAACAGAATGCTTAAAAGAAAAGTTACACGTAGGGAGGACTCCTTAGAGAAGAAAGTAGCTGCAAAGACTCGAAAACTAGAAAAAATTACTGAATCAACTCAACAGAAGTTAAAGAAATCAGAGGAGTCATTGAAACAAAAGACTGAGATTCTCGAAAAGAAAAGGCAAAAGCACAGTCAAGACATTTTTAGCTTTAGACAGTTAAATAATTATGTTAAAACCCTGAAAAAACATATCGATGGTGTTAATGTAGTGCTTGAAGAAAGATCTCGTGAACATAAAGTTTTGGAGGAAGAATATATCATTCTACAACAGCAAAACAAGGAATTAGAAAAAAGTGTAGAGTATTTGCAAGGATTGATAAACGATACTGATGAAATTATTGTTTGTGATCCTTCAATAAATATTTATTCAAATAGATTAATTGAATGTGTGATGAATCTTACTAACTTAAAGATCGCAACAAAAAATGTTGGGCCTGTTATACAGGAAGTGGCTACACTTTTGGGAAAACGAGTGAACCGTCTTCCATCCCGCCAGACTGTTGACAATATTGTGGATAGAAAAGTGTCAATGTCACAAAAGCAAGTATCACAAACTATAGCGAAAGAAAAAGATACCACCCTTTACACTGATGAAACAAGGAAGCATGGACATACTTATCAAACCTACATTTTAACCGATAAGAGTCAGAATTCTTATCTTTTGGGCCTTAGAGAAATGGTGAACAAAAGTGCACAATGTACATTGGATGTGTTGAAAGAAATCCTATTTGACATCTCAACTCATTGTAAGGAGCTATCCGAGGCAAAAAACTTTAGTGTTGGGTATGAACTATTATGCAATATAGCAAATACCATGTCTGATAGAGCCAGCACAGAAAAAGCATTCAATACCTTGCTAGAGAGCTACAAAGAAGAGGTCTTGCCAAAGGTTATAGATAATTATAATGAACTTTCAGTCGAGGAAAAATCTCACTGTGGGAAAATTAACAATTTCTTCTGCGGATTGCATCTTCTTTGTGGGATGGCTGATGTATGTGAGGCTGGAATGAAGAAATATGAAACTGGCTTCTTAGATGGCAAGGAAATAGGATCTTCTGTCAAGCCTGAACTGAAGCGATTCCATAAGGCAGAGAGTGGCACATTAAGACTACTCCGCTCTTGTAGTAAATCGTTTGCAAGAGGAGAAGATGAAAAAAATGGAGTGTATTTGCCTTTTACTACATATTTAAGTCAAAAGAAAGAGAAAAACCAAATTTTAAGATTCAAACATAACAGATTCAATATGATATTCATGATGGGTCAAGCCGTCTATTACCACAAGGAAGATATTTTTATATTTCTTGACAAAGAGCATGGTTTTACAAACACCTTACTTAAAGCAGTACATTTGGACATTCAGGAAAAGCTCTACTTATCTGGATGCAAAGCACTCGGACTGATATCTAAATTTGTAACAGCCCCACTTTGGAGAATTATCGAAGCACCTGGACACATTTTAGATATGAATGAACAGTACTATGCCCTAGTGACATTTTTGGATAAAGCGAGTAGTGATATTGATTTCACTTTGAAATTTATGAATGGTGAATGTACCCCGTTTGAAAATACCAGTATTGATGATAATGATAAAATCTCAAGATGCTTGTTAATACCCAATGAAGAAGTTGATGTAATCTTAGGCCCACTATTGCAGTCATTATTTACAGCCATAAAAGAACTGTTACTTAGAATGGTGCCAGAACACTTGCCAGGAGGCAAATTTTGGAATCCAGATGAATCTTTACTGGAAGAAGTTTCCTCAGCAAAAAAGCATAATAAACTTCCTGAATTCGTATTTGGACAGTTAGACCATCTAATATCCTACAGACCTAATGCATCCTTACTTGCAAATGAAGCATACATTATGTTCAGTTTCAACAAAACATCTACATGGTTGAGAGAACTTAGCGAGGATGAAAAAAACAGGCTTCTAGATGAATCCAGAAAAGAAGGAAGAGAAATAAGGAAAGAATTCATTTCAAGAACAAAATCCATAAGTGATGAGCGTTTCAGGTTACAAAAGCTAAAAAAACAAGAGATGGAGAGGTTGGAAGCAAGTAGGATTCAGCGAGCAGAGTGTATGACAAATGATGTGTGTTATTATGGTTTATGGCAGACAGTGGATCAGATTAAAGAAGGAATGGACAAGTTAAGTGGTAATGATAAAGAATTAAGATGTGCTCTTCAGACTCAATTAAAGTTTCGTAAATCAGTACTCCATCAGAAGCATTCCGACAAACAAATTTTCAATTTATCAAAGAAAGAACCAGGTGGCAAATATCGTAAATTATCAGTAAAAGAACTAAGAGACAATTTATGTGAATTAGTTAAAACTGCCTTGGATGCCGGTTCTAAGTCAGAAGTTTCTGTCTATGATGTGCCTTTATTAGTAGATAAAAGGATTTTACACAAATTTGCAGATGGACAAGAATATCCCGGTTATGTGATCAATGTTGTTCCAGGCTTCCCTCAATGGTACAATGTTAAATTTGATAATGATGATGCTATTTACTCATACAATTTGCATGAGGATTATAAGAGGGGGGACTTAAAACTGTCAGTTTCTCAGGAAAATGCTTAAACATTTTAAAGTATAATACTTTTTGTATTTTCAGAAGGCATTTGAGTTACTACATGTAATTTTACTATTCTTGCATTAAGATTGATATTTTTTATCATTGTATGTGATTTTTGATAATGTTATAATCAGAGATATTTATTATTTTTAGAAGAGAACGGGTGATTCTTTGTTTGTTTAACAATGATTTATTATATTATATACCTATATTTTTTTGTATTTGCATATGACTTTGATGACATCCAGCCATGCCAAAAAAGAAATTATTTTGTCATGTGTAATCCCTGTGATTTTTTAAAGTTTTGTTTTGTAGTTGGTAAATTATTTTGTCATGTGTGATCCCTGTGATTATATCATATATTGTTAATTTCTTAAAGTTTTAGTTTTGTTTTGTAGTTGGTAGTTTTCATATGATTGATGTTGATCATGATACAGTTTTGTTTTCTGCTATTTTTTTTACAATGTATGCTTTAGCATTGATATATTTATCTGTTTATGGGATATTAAAAAAGATATTGTTACTCATTGTTGCAAGCTAGCATATTGTGGATTTATTTTTTCTTAATAATTTATAACCATAGATATTTGTTTAATCATAGATATTTGTTTAATAATGTATCATTACATACAATTATGTATATTTTTTTGTATATGACTTCGATGACGTCCAGCCATGTATGCCAAAAAGTTTTATTAGGTTTGTTAAGAATATATCTATTTAAGAATATATCTATTTATTAGCCATGTGCCTTTAGCATTGATATTTTTTATCACTGTATGCAATTTTTTACTCATTGTTGTACATCTTTTTTTTTTAAATTTTATAACCAGAGATATTTGTTATTTATAGAGAAGGGGTGATTCTTTCTTTAATAATGTCATAACATTCGATTACTTATACATGTAACTTTTTGTATTTGCATATGACTTTGATGACGTCCAGTCATGCCAAAAAAGAAATTATTTTGTCATGTGTAATCCCTGTGATTATATCATATATTGTTAATTTTTTTAAGTTTTATA